GTTGTGCGGGAGGTCGAGGGTTCGAGCCCCGGCCGGACCAACACTCAGGGTCTTAAAATAATTGAGAAGAATATGCTACCTTTCTATAACATCAAGAAATGGTTAGATATTCTAGTCTTCTCGGATAGGGACGAATAAATGGAGGTCCCGTCTCCTGCAGGGTTAGGGGCAGGAGGCGTTAATTTCCCACACACGAGATTACTGTGTGATGGATGTCCTCCCCTGGGGTGGGATGGGTGGGTAACAGGACCCCCGTTGATACCAGTGTTTACTACACTGAAGGGGCTATCTTGTATAAATAAAAGATGTCTGCTCTACATTGACTGTTCCGTTGCTTTCCAGCTGCACGTATCGTAAATGCGGTGATAGGTGCCTCCATCTCTGGGGTTGTGATGTTAGCCTTTATGTTCTTCATAATCATCAGGTAATCAGCGAGTTTACTAGCTACATCTCTCGAACCACAGATAGTCTCATTTTTCCGCAGAATCTAAAACGTTAGTGAAAAGTTAACAGACTTTTTTTCCTACACTCGAGAGAAAATGAAAGACATTCTTTCAAGACGTTGAAAGTTTTGCCATTATCTCGATATCGGACATGTCTTTGTATCGAGTTTGAGCCCTCGTTTCTCGGGCGTAGATTAGTGTCATTGAAAGTGTCTACGAAAGTTTTCCCTGGATGTCTTTAAGGTCGAGTCCCTGGGCGCAGTTTTTTGCCGAGATACTACCGAGATTTTATCTCGAGTGTCTCAAACTGCGTGATGATGAGCACATCGGTCCTAAAAGCCTTAAAATTAAAGGATTCTGTTGCACCCATGTTTTTGTTATAGGAAGCTTCGTTATGAAGCGGATTTGGCTGAAAAAATGACGTGGAAAATCCGCTTTGAAGACCTCAAAATGAAAGGAAAAGTTAAACAGGAGCCTAAACCTCAGGGCATGCTACCCTTCTGGTTCAATAATATCATCATGCCCCACCAGGTAAGATGGCAAGATTTACATGTTTCACAAAATACACCTTAGTATTACAAAACGACTTACCTTGCACTACTAAGGAAAGGGAAAGGTTTACTTACTCCTTGTACTCCTTTTCCTGGTTCTGTGCTTTGCGCATTTGATACGGAAGCAGCATACAACTTTTCCAGCGTTTTGCAATGACCACACGTTCCCAGAGGTATGCACACGCTTCATGTCTTCCCGTGCTTTACTGAAGTGATGTGCTTTCCCCATGCTTGACTTAGACTGAATTTATTCGCACGTTAGACGATAGTTCCGATGCTTTACAGCCCAGAGGCTGTATATTCCCTCGCGCCTGATGATGCTCTCATGATTTTCCAGTTCTGGTACAGGTTACATGTTTTTCCACGCTTAGTAAAGTGCGCATGCTTGATAGAGTCTTCCTGCTTTCCTTTCCCGCGCCTCTCAAAAGCCACATGTTTACTTCTCTTCCTTGCGTGGTAAGGGTTACATGTGTCCCCGCGCTTTGTGAAGGCTATACGTTTCCACGTGCTTGATATTTGCAGATTAAACTAATTATTTCCCGTTGTACCTTTTCTCCAGAGTGCAGCCCCATCTGGTGCCAATTCAACACAAGTGAGCCGAAATAGTGAGAATCCTTCCGCAATATCAGATCTAGAAGGTAAAGCAGAGTACGCAGGCACGACCACTGGAGAGTGCATGTTAGCGTTAATGCTGCCTTATTTAAGGTTATTGTAGGTGCTTGTATTTTATTTGTCGCGAAAAAGGCTCTTCTTTACATTTTTTTACTTCCGTTTTTTTTTAGGCCCGTTTTTTGGCCCACGTCCACTTACCGAGAGCCTATTAAAGACTAGTCTAAGAATCACTCTGAACTAAGTACATTTTATTTCAGACGCAAACAGTAGTTATTAACTGTTTATTATTTATTTATTATTAATAACTAATTATTATTAATTATTATTATTATAATAATTATTATAATTAATATTATAATATATATATAATATAATATATATAATAGATTATAAATATATTATAATAATTATTATTAATAATAATTATTATTAATAATAATTAATAATAATTGTAATTATAATTATTAAACATTTATAAATTATTAAATGTTTATAAATAACAGTTATTAATAATTATTAATTATTAATAACTGTTTATTAATAACTGTTTAAACGACTCAGGAAAAGAAGTGTTCAATTGACCAGAGACGTTCTGATAGAACTAAAACAGGTATTGTTACCAATAATGGCGTAGGATCACGGAGTGATCTAGAGGGGGAGGGAAGGGAATTTGTTTAAACTGACGAGGGGAGGGAAAGAGAAAAGTGTCCTTCCCGGCTTGCATTGTCACAAAGTGTGAGATAATCATAAAGAACTATAAGCTTCTGAGGTACTTTGTCTCTTTTTTGGCAAAACTAGAAATAAAGTAAAAAGAGCGCAATAGTGGGATAATATTGGGCTACTTTTATTCCAATTATTGGGTTATAATAGGGCCATTTTTATCACAAATATTGGGTTTTAATAGAGTCACTTTAATAGAGTCTCTCTCACGCGCCCCTCTTGGGGTAAAGGGAAGACACAGCTGAAATTCAGACTACTGGCGAACGAAAAACGGCAAAAATGTTTCTAGAGCTGATCGTTTGTGATCTTAAGAGGACAAAATCCAAAATGCAGTGCCAGCTAATCCAAAACATACCCAAATGATAGCATCGGTCCAAGAGGGTGATCAAAAGTGGGGCTTATGTGAGACCTCTCAGTGTATCCTGTAACAACACAGCAAACATCACACCTCAAATCCCTTAGGACTGACGTGGATACCGATGACCTCCACAATTTACTGTTTTGGTAACTAATATGGCCACCGTGATGTCACCTTAGTAATGATTGGGAACAGTACGTAAAATTTATTAAACGCATCAGGGTACGAAATGAAAAGGGGATTATTTTTGTGGGTAATGGATCTTCCTCTAAAACATTTGAAATCCCCCTACCACCCACTTACAATAAACACTTTGAGATTCTTTAAGGCTCTCGCGAAATTCTTCGACCAAAATTGGGTTTTTTGAGATTTTACACGTATAAAGTAAAATGTTCAATGACAATTTTTTACCCTAAAAAAACCAATATGACATTAAAACCTTAAAGAAAACTATCAATGAATACTCTTAAAAGTATTCCCTGATAAACTGCAGGAGATTCAAATCATATGAGAAGTCAATGACACCTACGTGGATGAGAGTCTATGTGTTTGATTATGTCACGCACGGAGTCACGGGAGATGTGTTCCGCGTTTCTGCCTCCCGTTTCTCAGGCCACAGATCTAGGCTCCTAAGCCTTTTAAACATCTTTTGTTTAAGACCACAACTCTTAAAAATACAATGTTCCACCCAAAGAATAAACCTCAGTCACATAAACAGTGCGCTCGTTTTCTGAGTTAGCACTCTTGGTTATGGCTGACTGATCGAGCGAGCAAAACATATCAAATCCTATACTTGTGTTCTGATTGCCTGCCATACAAAACCCCAGGGCCCAGTTGTTCGAACGCCGATTAACGCTAACCTAGGGTTAAATTTTAATACAGGTTTCTGTATTTCTCTGTACAAAAGCCGCTTTGGGATAATTTTCCCAATTCTTTTTAGAACATTCAACCATCAAAGTGTAGAAAAATAGAATTAAACTGAATTTTCTTTTAAATCTTTCAGGCCTGAAATCAAATTCCACACTAACCCTGTGTTATCTTAACCAGCTTTTGAACAACCCGGCCCAGAGTTGTTTCCTTAAGGAAAAATTTTTCGTCGTGAGGCTCCTGATTTCCACCACAAATCAGAGTCAATGTACCAGTTTTTCGATAAACGTGGTTACCCTGTTTCTGTCGTTCAAGCGGGTTACCACCGCGCCCAACTTATTGATCGACATTCAGCACTACAAACGTCGCATAAGGAAGATTCCGACCGCATTCCATTCACTCTCACGTTTCACCCTCACAACCACTCAGTTAAATCCATCATTCTTAAAAACTTTAAATTACTTCAAAACGATCCAGAGACAAGCACTATCTTTTCGCAGCCTCCGCTCATTTCATTCAAACGCGACAAAAACATAGGCAATTTTTTGGTCAGAAGTTCTTTTCAGACTAATGACCAACCAGGCACTTTTAAATGCGCTCGTGCACGATGCAAAACGTGTCCTTTCATTCACAACACTGATAAAATATCGGGACCTAAACGATCCATTAAGATCACCGATCACTTCACGTGCACCTCCGCCAATGTAATCTATTGCATAACTTGCACTTATTGCAAAAAGATATACATCGGCGAAACAGGCAGAAGACTAGGTGACCGATTCCGAGAACACCTTCGAGACGTGGAAAGGAATGACAAGGACACATCGAAACCAGTCGCTAGACATTTTAATTTACCTAATCATTCTAAGCAACATATGGCAATCTGCGGTCTTTCCTT